GTCCCCCTTCCCATGAGGTTGCAGTTGCCCCGTCACCACTGGCTCATACCCGGCTTTCCAAAAAGCTCCGAGGTGGCCACCATCTTGCTGCCCAGGGGGAAAGAGGAGAAAGGGAGTGACACCCCTTCTTTCCGGGGGAGGTATGTTAACTCACATTTCTTGATGATCATCTATATCATGGGGCCAGTATGAACCCACTGATTGCCACATTATAAGTAAGTAAGTAAAGGCCCTCCCGTTGATCATCGATTTGCTCGAGCGGGCCCAGTAACGTCTCCATTGGAGACTTTGTTGTTACTGTGTTTGGCATATCGAATACATCACAGGGAGCTTGCCAGGCTCTGCCGTGCGGGCGAGATACTCTCAGTAGCTTGCCGGGCTCTCCGAGAGGGGCAGAGGAATCAAACTCGGGTCGACCATGTTGGCTGCGTGCAAGGCAAACGCCCTACCACTGTGCTATCGCTCCTGCCACATTATGGAAAGAATATAAAGATAAGGAGGTAGCATGGAAATTCTCTAAAATTATGAAGCCCAACACTACAGCACTGTAGCACTGTCTTCCCGTTGTTCATCAATTTGCTCGAGCAGGCCCAGTAATGTCTCCATTGTGAGACTTTGTTGTTACTATGTTTGGCATATTGAATACGTCATGGGTAGCTTGCCAGGCTTTGCCGTGTGGGCGAGATACTCTCGGTAGCTTGCTGGGCTCTCCGAGAGGGACGGAGGAATCAAACTCGGATTGGTCAGGTCGGCCGCATGCAAAGCAAACGCACTACCCGCTGTACTATCACTCCAGCCCAACACAAATTTTAAAAAAAAATTCAAATAAGAACTCAATTCAACACACTTACTTAATAGCTTTTGATTATAGATTGTAAGTTATTGCAGTGTAAAAGGAAGTAGAGTTGCATTCTGGAGAAGCCGAAATTCTTCGGTGAATTTTACCTGGTATTATTATAAAATATTATGCTTCCTCATTCTTATCTTAGCCTGAAATTGATCAAAGAGTAGGGCCACTAAAACCAAAACAATGTCCTAACTACCCCCTCTTTCAGGGGCAAGATTTCAACAATTAGTGGGAAAGTTGAAGAAATGTGAGTATTTTGTTTCTTTGCACCTTCTTCTTTTCCTCTTCTACTGACTGGAGAGCTTTGGGGAATTGTGTGTTGAATTGTTGGTTGAATTATTGTTGAGTTATTTGGAAACAGGTTGTTTTGGGAGAAAGGCCAAATATCTACCCCCCACACCCTTTTCCTTTTTAATTTTTAAACCATATGAGGCTGTCGTCAGGGTTTACTCCTGCTCTGACCTCAGCAATGACTCCTAGAGGGGCTCAGTGAACCACATGTAGTATCAGGGGTTGGACTCAGGCTGACTATAAGTGCCTTATCTGCTTTACACACTATCTGGTCCAACAAAAGATCTTTTTGCAAGTTTCACATTTTTTCAGTTTATCTTCTTAAGGTCAAAGTCATGGTGATGGTAGTGGATGAGCAGGATGTAGGTTTGATGTACTTTGATTGCACCTAAGCAGAGACTAGGTAGCTACAGTCAAATCCAGTTTAAAAATTAAGGAAGGAATTCTATTCAAAACAAACTTAGGAAAGATGTGAGCCCAGATGTTATCAAAACAATGTTATTTCAGAGAAGAAACTGCTCAGCTTGGTGGGAACAGGAGATAAAGGAACACACTTTTTGAAAAACAAACAACAAAACAGAAGCCAGCAGCAAAGAGTAGAGTTAAAAAAAAAAACACCAGGATAACAGGGTAAGAAAAGCCCTTTATATGATCCTCCTCTAATTATCAACTCTGACTCCTCTATTCCCACCAAAATTCCCTGGTTCCTCCCTTTCTCTTTTAGGTGATAATTTTAGCCTTTTAATTGGTCTTGTCACAACTGCTGGCCACCCTTTAAACAAAGCCAGCCCTGCAAGGAGAAGAAACCTATTAAAATTTGCATCTGATTTCACAACTAGCACCTCCTCTATTGAAAAGCCCGAATGACTTTCTTCTTGTTGACAAATGCCTTTCCTGAACTGAGCCTCCAGATTCACCTCTGTAAACTGCCTGGACCCAAACATTTTATGCACTCATGTCCACCTTCCCACACACTTATGGCCCTCAATAAGTGCTTTCAAAAAACATCACCAGTCATATGCTTATTTACAGCCTTCTATTATTCCTTCTCAAATTGTACCTTCTCGGGTATCTTTCCTGATTTTCCAAATGAATTTATCCTTCTCTAGTAATTAAAGACTAAATACTTTAGATGGCAGGAAATTTTTTTCTTTTGAAGTCTTTTCTGGAATTTCCATGCCCAGTGGTTGAGTATTTTGATTATTAAAAGATTTATGTTGAATTCTCTTTTATGTCTCTCTGGAGGGAGGAGGGAGAGTTCACCTGGGTGCTTGGAGAATTCTCTTTACATCAATGTTCAAACAATAGGAGTTATGAGAATGCTTCTATTTTACCCCCGGCAAAAAACTCACCCTCTTTTGTATATGGAAGTTTATAAAAGCTCTCTTCTGAAAGCCTGCTTTACTTGCTCAACCACAGAGTTGCAAACAACTTGAGATGCTATAATTACTCCTGGAACATTTTTCTATGACATTCCCTCTTCCTTTTAAAAACTAGCAAAATCTCTTTCTAAGGTAGTCAACAGCAAATAACCTGAATATGATACATATATATACATATATATATAATACACATATATTTTAGTGAAGCGAGGCTGTTTTTAATTGAATGAAACTTGATTAGAAAGATGTGAGGGGAGGAAAGTTAGGAGAATTCTGTGTATAAGGGAGAACAGGGGCTGTTAGAAGCAGAGCCATAGAGACAAGCCAGTAAGATACAGGTTTAATGGAAAATCCAGCATGAAGAAAGAGCCTAATAAGAAGTCTTATGGGAGATTCATTAAGCCAGGGGAAAATAGTGGAGTCCGATTCACTTTGAGTGATAACTCATGGCACAGTGTTCTAGCGCTGTAAGATTTCCTCTTCCCTTTAACTCTTCAGCTTAGTCTCAATTGCAGTTGTCAGATGTGGATTTTGATGTGGACAAGACCCAGAAATTACCTTTTTCCCATTTTTTAAAAACTACTAATTATTATTTAGTTCATTCAAAAATTGTACCCCACTCCAATTCTGCTCCCATAACCAATAGGTCGACAATTGGATAAAATCCTTTTCAGATCCAATAAGCCTCTCATATCTGGGTAGGCGAGCAGGTGGGAAAATGATGAGTGTTGCTTTCTAAACCAGAAGCACAGGCCTTACCTGGCTGAAGGGAGTTTCCCCAGCTTTCTGAAGCAAATGAGAGAGGAGCTGGCAAGTGTCTGATGCTGTGATTAGATCCAAGGTAATTCTTTGGCCCACGTCAGGCAGATTTATGCATAATGCCTACCTCGTAGCACAGAGATCAGCCCGACAGGGGTTCTGAAGTTGCTCCTTCTCCAGGCCATCTCTCAAGCCATGAGAAGGCCTTCTAGGTTCATCTTCGCCTCTTCCTTTTTCAAAATCTTTCTGCGGTAGTTCAGTTCAATAAAATGGCAACTCAGCCAAACCTTTATAATTAGACCAAGAAGGTGTGTCAAACATAATTTACTCGAGCAGCAGAAAAAGGCGCATTTGCCAGGGAGGAGATTTTGAACATTATTCCCAAGCCTGACCAAGCCTGCGGTGTCCGGAGGAAGACTCTGGTGCTGTCAGGACACCTGCTTTGCCTCAGGCCTTCAGAGCCCTGGCAGAATGGAGCCGCAAAACTTCCCATGTAAGAACTGGCCTCTGCGAGGGAGATTGTAAAAAGTACAGAAACAAAATCCAAATTCAAAGGATTCCAGTTATTGGCTTGGAGACAACAAAGAGTCATTTTTAAAAAATGATCCTCATTCTTTTGTTATTGTTGTTTTGTTTGGGGACTGGCTCAGGATATGCACTCGGGGATCATAACTGGCAGTACTCAGGGATTATTACTGACAGTACTCAGGAGACTGTATGCGGTGCTGAGGATCGCACTGGCTATGTGCGAGGCAAGTGCTTAACCACTGTCCTATCTCTTTGGCCTGATCTTCATTTTTTGAAATTAATTGATTCTCCTTGTCGCCGTGACTTATTGTTTTGGATGTTGTTGTAGCTATGGTGTGGAGTTTGCACACGTGTCAGAATGAGGTACTCATGCTTTTAGTTGTGGTGCTCACCAGGGGCTCCATATCAGGTTGCTGTGCCCCCCCCCACCCAGCCCCGGGGAAGCTCACAATTTCATAAGGTTGTGAAGGTCACTGGTGGTATCACTGGGGCGCTCAATTAGGTGCTCCCAGGTGTCACAGTTCTTGACTGCAGTGCTCACACTTACTTAAGCTGTGATGCTTGCTAGGAGTGATACCTCATTTTGAGCTGCTAACCTGTCCACAACTGCATTGTGACCAGAAATCTCTTCTAGCACGGGGGAGAACAGATGGCATAACTGCCACGCTCACCCTCAGCGTATGTGGCAACAGATAATCAGTTTTATTTGTTTTTATTTTATTGACTGATTTTATTTTGGAAGTAAAAATACCTGGAAAATGTTCAGGGCTTACTCCTGGCTCTGTGCTCGGGAATCACTTCTGGTGGTGCTCAGGGGACCGTATGGGTGCTAGGGATGGGTGCGAGGCCTTACCTACTGTACTATCTCTCCAGCTCCAAAGCATTACTTTTAAAGAAACTTCCATGGGGCTGGAGCAATAGCACAGTGGGTAGGGTATTTGCCTTGCACGCAGCTGATCTGGGTTTGATTCCCAGCATCCCATATGGTCCCCCAAGCACCGCCAGGAGTAATTTATGAGTGCACAAGCCAGGAGTAACTCCTGTGCATAGCGGGGTGTGACCCAAAAAACAAACAAACAAACAAAAATCTTCCAAGCTCCTTCTGAGACAAATAGTGTTCCTGAAAAACTGTTTCCATGAATAGCTTTGTAAAGATCTATCTGACAGTGATTCAATAAAAAATTATAATGAAAGTGCTGGACTCGGCAGCACATTTACTAAAGTGGGAAGGACACAGAGAAGATTAACTTGGCCCTGTGCAAAGATGACATGCAAATTTGTGCTGCATTTTGTAGCGTTGTAACACTGTACTCCCATTGTTCATCGATTTGCTTGAGCGGGCACCAGTAATGTCTCCATTGGGAGACTTGTTACTGTTTTTGGCATATTGAATATGCCACGGGTAGCTTGCCAGGCTCTGCCCTGTGGGCGGCATACTCTTGGTAGCTTGCTGGGCTCTCCGAGAGGGGTGGAGGAATTGAACCCGCGTCAGCCGTGTGCAAGGCAAACACCCTACCCACTGTGCTATTGCTCCAGTGCTGCATTCTGTATTAAAAAAAATTACAATAAAATTGAAAATAAAACCACTGAAAGAGAGCAAGGAAGGAAGGAAGGAAGGAAGGAAGGAAGGAAGGAAGGAAGGAAGGAAGGAAGGAAGGAAGGAAAAAAGAAAAACTATTCCACTTAGAATTTAGCCAAGAGAATAGGTGAGTCAAAGTGCATGGTGCCGCTGAGAGGCTCCTGGGGCCTGTCTGAGGAGGGGTTCTCCACGTCTTCCAGGCTTTTCATCAACACCAATGTCAGGGAGAGGGAAAGTGGAGAGGGCAATTGTCAGAGCTGGGATTCCTGGTGTCTTTGCCTTGAGATCAGCTAGAGAGAATCCAGTTTCAGAACTAGGGTCAGGTAGACACTATACTCTCTCTCCTGCTCGATGGAACAGCTTCCACCAGTCTTGTCTTTTACATCTGGCTTGGCTACCTCCCTTGTCCTAAGTTAAATTTAGCTCCAATTTCAACAGAGCTTCTAGAATCATTTTGGTTTGCTTGTTTGGGGTCCATACCTAGAGCAGCTCCTGGCTAACTCTTGGCTCTGTGCTCAGTCTTGGAGGCATTTGGGAAACCCTTATACTGTGCCTAGGCATTGAAAAGGGGTTGAGCACATGCAAGGAAAAGCCTTACCCCTGTACTATCCCTTTGGCTAGAATCATTTTTATAAAAGGGGTATTGTCTTTACAAATGGCTAAAATATTTTCAAATTTCTATAGATAAAAATCTCAGTCGTTGACTTTTAACCAAAGCCTGACTCCCCTGCAAAGGTCTAATTTATTAAGTACGTCCTCTGCATGTTTCCTCATTTTATCCTGATTCGAACCCCTCTGCCTGCCTCAGCCACAAACATGACTGCTTGATGCTTCAACTTTCTCTGTAAATGAAACCATGATTCATCCAGTTCAGGCTTCTGTGATTAGATGAAATTATTATCCTCTTTGAACATATGCATGCCTATGCCATTGTGTCACTGTATTGCAGTAGTTTAATCTGATTGATGTTTTGGTGGTGCTGCTTGGGAGTGAACTGAGACCTGACACAATCAGCTCAACCCCTGTGCTACTTCCCAGCCCTTCGTTAGCTACTTTAAAGCCTCATCTCCCTTGAGAGATTGTAACCATGTTTTTGTGTTTTACTATTAATCAAGGGCTGGAGCGATAGCACAGCGGGGAGGGCGTTTGCCTTGCACGTGGCCAATCCAGGTTCAATTCCTCCTCCCCTCTCGGAGAGCCCGACAAGCTACTGAGAGTATCTCGGCAAAGCCTGGCAAGCTACTGGTGACGTATTCGATATGCCAAACACAGTAGCAAGTCTCACAATGTTACTGGGCTCCCTTGAGCAAATCGATGAACAACGGGAGAACAGTGACTGTGACAGTGACTATTAATCAAAAAAGAAAAAGGAAATGTTAGTTATGTCTTTGTAGTGTTCCTCTGTAATAGTGAACCTTAAAAAGAGAGTTAGAGGGCTGGAGAGATAGCACAGTGGGCAGGGCATTTGCCTTGCATGCGGCCGACCCGGGTTCAATTCCCAGCATCCCATATGGTCCCCTGAGCACCGCCAGGAGTAACTCCTGAGTGCAGAGCCAGGAGTAACCCCTGAGCATTGCCAGGTGTGACCCAAAAAGCAAAAAAAGAAAAAAAAGAGAGTTAGAAGGAAAAGAGAGAGAGAGAGAGAGAGAGAGAGAGAGAGAGAGAGAGAGAGAGAGAGAGTTAGAAGACACAGATTAAAATAAAATCTATGTCTGAAGAACTAATCGGATGACCAGGTTAAAAGCCGAGTGGCCGAGTGGGGGAGGGGTGGTGGGACCTGATATGGCTATTGTGACTGTTGGTTGCTCTTTCTATTCTTCTTGGTGACAGAAGCCACTTTGGTCTTTCCTGGATTCTCAGTCTTGTCTTCACCTCTGGAATGGTTTTTGTTCCAAGAAACACAACCTTCCTGTTGGTCCTCTTAGGGAGCAGAGCATCATCTGCTCTGTGGTCTGGTAATGAGTCTGCCTCCTTGTTTCTGAGCCCCCAGTGCTTATTTTGCAGACATTTTAGTAATGACACTGAAACTTGTCTGCACTGTCCCAGACCACTATTGCCCCACTGTCTGGGCCTTTTTATTATGAATCAGGTTCCTCACTGAGTCTCAAGTAGTACCTTGTCATTAGGATTCTGCTATCTGCCTAGAAGCCCTACCTTACCTGGCCTGCTCTCCCGGACCTCTGAATGAGACAGTGAAAGACCTCAACTGCCATTAGAACTTAGTTTGGAGATTCATCTGGTTAAACTGATGGCAGTGTATTATGCACCCTGGTCTATCTAGCATTTGCAGGCAAACTGAACCAGGGAGCTGCCAGAGACCAAACTTCTGCATTCTTAAATTCTTGAACAGTACACTACTTTCCACCATCCTTCCAAGAGTGCAGTATTATTTGGAATTCACTACCTTGATTGCCGTGAAGGCTAGGGAAAATGGTCCAAAGTAAAACACAATCCCCCAATATAAGGAGATGTTGGGATGTGTTTAATACAGACAGTGGAAAGAATGGTTGCAAATGTAAAATACTCTGCACTATGATTTAGAGTAAAGGTAAAGGTAAAGGCCCTCCCGTTGTTCATCGATTTGCTCCAGCGGGCCCAGTAACATCTCCATTGGAGACTTTGTTGTTACTATGTTTGGCATATCGAATACGTCACGGGGAGCTTGCCAGGCTCTGCCGTGCGAGCGAGATACTCTCGGTAGCTTGCCGGGCTCTCCGAGAGGGGCGGAGGAATCGAACTCGGGTCGGCCATGTTGGCTGCATGCAAGGCAAAGGCCCTACGACTGTGCTATCACTCCAGCCCGATTTAGAGTAACACTGGGAAAATGATTTAGAGTAACACTGGGAAAATAAAATTTCAATATGGAAGAGAGAAACACAATATGAGCTTTGTTTTCTGGTGGTGAAGTTGGTATCTGTGTCTACTTTGGATAAGCTGTAAAACAAATTTGAGATCTATAAACTGAAGAGAACATTTTATATCTGAAGGGGTTGGAGAAATAGTAGGCAGGTTATGGTTCCTACCTTGCATGCAGCTGACACCAGTTCGATTTCAGACACGATGTATGGTACCCCAGGATTAATCTCTGAGCACAGAGCTAGGAACATGTCCTGTCCCTTCCCCTGAATAGTCAGAGATATCACTATCATTCTGTGATTTTTCTAATAATTTTCTTGACGTTATTTTAAGATTGCTATCATAGAAGAAAATCAGAAGGACAATGAAGGATAGTAAATTGCTCAAGAACAGTCTATTTAATATTTCTCAAAGAATAGAAAAACATTTTTGGGAAAAAACGTAATTTAAAAGCATCAGAAAATTATACCACAGTAAAATTATTACAGACTGTCTTCTAGATACATAGATTTTTTTAACTTGAATTGCCAAATCATTTTACTAGCCATGTATCCCACAATTAAAACTCAATGCACTCTTCAGCGGACTCAGTTATTAGAATTTTATGTTCCAAATATTTTTTCAACTACGAAATTGTTGAGTTACACTCTGAACTACTATTCTGTGATTTTTGAATAGAATTCTATTTTTAAATAATGACAATACACGTATCTGAAAAAAACACCTGGCAACTGAGAATGTGTCATGGGCCTGATTTAAAATAGTTAACGTTCCGTAGTCCTGAGGAACTCAGAAGTATGTCAAAGGACATGGGGGGGAAAAGCCATCTACAAAATGAGTACAATGTCCCAGGGTGTGATTCGGGAGGAAGCAAGAATGACATGTGCAGAATTTGGCAAGACAACTAGGGGAAAGAGCAAGAGTTGGAATAGTAACTCCCAAGTTTTAGGGCAATCAGGAAACACAATTCTGAAGACAGTGGAATGAAGGAAAATTCCACTTGGACTTCACAGGGAATGCAGAAACTCATGTTTTTGTCTTTAGTGTATTGAAAAGAATTCAGATTCCTGACTTGGGGTAATCCTGGGAAGGGAAAGGCACTACTTATAAAACTCAGGTTTCATATTTTTATGACAAAACAAAATGCATTTGAAAGTAGATTCTAGTCCCCCTCTTTCTTTTCTTTGAAAAGTTAAGGAATTAGTAGTTAGGAACATCCTAAATGCACTTTAAAGAGAAGTTTGCAGTATAGCACATATTTAAAATGCAGAGTGAGGAGGCTGAGGTAATGAATGGCACAGGGTAGAAAACTCATTTTGCATGCAGGAGCCTGGGTACTATCCCTGGTATCACCTGGTCCTGCAATCTCTACTGGGAGCAACCCCCAAACCAACAAAACAAAAAGCACTTAAGCTTCAATCCACTGTCCACTGTCCTCCTGTTGTCCATTGATTTGCTGGAGTGGGCTCAGTAACGTCTCCATTGTGAGACTTGTTACTGTGTTTGGCATATTGAATATGTCACGGGGAGCTAGCCAGGCTTTGCCTTTCGGGAGAGATACTCTAACTAGCTTGCCCGGCTCTCTGAGAGGGGCGGAGGAATCAAAATCAGATCAGCCACATGCAAAGCAAACCCCCTACCCACTGTGCTTCAATATGATTAGAAAATTCACAGGTCTTATTCTATGAATACATTTACAACCTCCACAAAATTTATACTTTAATGTTAAGGGCTAGAGTGAGAGCACAGGGTAGGGCATTTGCCTTGCACTCAGCCAACCCGTGTTCGATTCCTCCACCCTTCTCGAAGAGCCCGGCAAGCTACCGAGAGTATCTTGCCCGCACGGCAAAAACTGGCAAGCCAC